AAGTGTACAATTCAGTGACCTTTAGAACATACACTGTAGTATAAGAACCGCCTGTATCACCCCAAAAGAAAACCTCTGTCCATTAAGCTGTCACTCCTTTCCCCCCTCCCCCCAGTTTCAGAGCAATCACCAATCTGCTTTCTGCCTCTCTGGATTTACTATTCTGGATATTTCATATAAATGGAGTTATATACTGTGTGGCCTTTTGTCTGTCATAATCAAAATTTTTAAGATTATCCATAAGGGGCATAAATTACTAATTACAGAGCATATTCAAGACAATTGTCTCAACAGGGAAAACTTAGATTTTCCTTTTTTATGCTGTAGCCATACCTCCTTTAAGAAACCTGGGGATGAAGGTCTAAAGTAACCAGGATAGATGGGGGACAGGACCATGTTGAATAAATTATCCAAAATGCTGAGTGTAGTGAATGGTTTGTGGTGTTTTCGTCTAATTGTGCTAAGGTCATTAACTCTTCCGATCCTCCTCCGGTAACAAAAGGAAGAGATCCTCCGTTGGTACTTCTAACCAATGTGTGGGTGGATAGGGGGAGGGGAAAGATGTGGACATCAAGGAGGAGGAAACCCCGCTTAACTATTGGCTACAGAATTTGGAGCTGCTGATACAGTCAGGCACTTAACAATGGAGATTCCTTCCGAGAAGTGGGCTGTTAGGCGATTTCATAGCTGGCACAGCATGTTACTATACAAAACATGCGAGATTAAATCAAGCACAAGAGGAAAATGATGCAATCAAGAAATTCGGTAAGCATGAGATTGTATGAGGTTGCTGCCGTAACATGGCCTACTGTTTACAGCAAAATATTTTGGACGTAGAAGAAGTACACTCTAAAATAATGATAAAACGTGTAGTATACTAAACACATAAACCAGCAACATAGTTGTTTATCATTATCAAAAGAACCAAAGAGGAAGAATTTGCCAAGATGATGCCAGGACTTCCTAAAGCAGGGGGAGACAGAAACGTAGTGTGAGAACCTCAGAACTACTCATTCACATTTTATTACTAATCAGAAAACTTTGAACCATGGGAACAGATAAGTTGGTGGTCATAATTATGTTTTTGAAATGTCTGGTTTTCTAAATAAATCAGCTATTATAAAATTATATATATATTTATATATATATTTTTTAATCCTCACCTGATTATATGTTTATAGATATTAGCGAGAGAGAGAAAGGGAGGGAGGGAGAGAGAGAGCGGGGGCGGGGGTGGGGAGAGAAAGAAATATCAATGTAAAAGAGAAACAATTGGTTGCTCCCATACGCTCCTGGACCAGGGATTGAACCTGGAACATAAATATGTGCCCTGACGGAGAATCGAACCCTCAATCTTTTGGCCACCCGGCCAGGGTTGTTAAGAGAATATTATATAAAAATAGTTGTTCTTTATAGACTACCTTCCATCCACTAAGCAACATGTTCAGTCACTTGTTTGCATTACTTTTAACAGTCCTGCAAAATAGTTGTTTCAACTCTCTGAGCTGCAGTGCTGGAAAATTAGGATAATAATCCGTACCTGCTGGACTTAAATGAAATAATATATGTAACATGCTTAGCACAGAACCTGGCATAAAGTAAGTGTACAATAAAGGTTAGCCTTTATTGCCATTATTTGTTCACATTTTACACATGGGAAAAAGAATACATAGGGTATTAGACAACACACTCAAAGACACTTTGGTAGAGATAGAACTCAAATCTTTATGCCCCTGATTACAAAACCAGACTTTTCCCACCACCCTTTACTATCTCTTTTATGTGCATGATCAATGAAGCTTCTTTAGTTAATTTTCTCATCAAAAATAACTCTCTTTCTTTAGCCCTTTTCCCAGCCCTAGATGTTTGATGAATGTTTGCTTAGCTGTCCTCTCAACCTCAGTAAGTCCTAAGCAGCTGTAAAGCAGAAGTTCAGTGAGTAATTCCTGTATAGATTTAAAGGCCTGTTCCTCAGCTTCTTCATGCCCCAGAGAAATAAAGTAAAATGCCTGGCAGTAAATTGAGAAAAACAAAAATAAGGAAAAGCAGAAGTTGAAGCACTCCAAAAATCACACTTTCACCCACGCAGACCCCTTTTTTGGGCTCTTTCAAAAACAACAAAGTATCATATTGAACAATCTACCTGGTGTCCAAAAATAGTGACTTGAGGAGTCAATGTCTGAGCATCTTGGCTTTCAGACACAGGAATGTATACCATGGAGGAGTCCCGGGGGGCTCTTCGGGACTCACATGCTGGCCGTAATGAAACCTCACCTGTGCTTCTCGGGGTAAAGATAAGCAGTGGTGAAGCCCAGGTGTCCAAGACTTAACCTCAGCCGCCAGAGGAACAATTTCCAAGTCATGTTGTTTTTGTTAAAAATACACTAACCAGGTTGTCCTGGGGTTTTTCGAGAGAAGTTGGTAAGAAGGGGAGAGGGCAGTTAGTGAGAAAAATAACTTAAAAATAGCTGAATGAAAACACACAAAATTGGGGTTTTTTTAATCCCACTAACTCTAGGAATAAAAAAATGCTGTTGCAACTATAATACATATACTTTTCCTTCCTTTAATTTAAAAGAAGAACAGTGAACAGGGAATAGAGCTTTTAGAGAAGTAAAGGTATTTTCTTATGCTGGATAAATCATACCTCTTTAAAACTTGCTTTACAGCCGTTATGCAAGCTATTTAACTTTCAATTTTGTTAGAAAATGTTCCTTAAGAAGCTTATATGAAATATGAATAACATCTCGATTGTACTGGCCATCATGGTTTTGATATGAGCCATCATTCAAACCAGACTATGCTACTCCTGACTGCCAAAACATAAAAAAAAAAACATCCGGACAGTCCTACCCTCACTCATGCTGTTTCTGTCACTTCCAGAAAAGAGAAAAAATTTTATCAAGCACATTCCACATATCCCAGGTACCACGCACTCACAGTCGTACACGGTAGTGAGCAGGGCCTCGGAATGGCTGTGAGGGAAGAACGCTCTCCCAACGTCATGCATTCCCTGAGTCAGAGGGCCCAAGTCTCTCTGTCTTCAAAGACGGTCCTCCAGGAATTCTATACTCTCTACTCTTTATTTATTAAAATTGTATCCACTTAGCCAGGCCTCAATTAAGCAGTGATTCTCTTCTTCCTCTGAACTCAGGTCATGACACGAAGTGGTGACATATGTCCTGTTACTGAGATTAGAGCAGGGGGTAGGAGACACCTGTCTGGGATGCTTTAGCAAGGACTCATGCTTTCTGTAGAGAACTACAGAATCATTGCTGCCAATTTTTTTTCCGTGTTAAACTGTAAAATAAGAAATGCTTGAGTATCTGAGGACATAGTCCCAAGCAGCCCATGTTAAGCTGAAATGGCACTGGAATCCATGTTTTATCTTCAACATTTGCATGTGCTACATTAGCAACCACACTTGCGGGCCTGCCAGATATGGGCTTACTCTACATACAGGGGAGAATTAAAATTGTTGAGATGTTCCATGTTGTGAGGCCTTTTATTTTTTACATGAAGGTGGGAGAGGATAATGGGGAAAGGCTATAAGTTTAAGGAAAACTAATAAAAATATGCATATTTTATTCTACTCTATTTTATGTTTAAAATTATTTATTAATTTTATTTTCTTTTTTTAAGATTTTCCTTATTTATTTTTAGAGAAGGGAAGGGAGGAAGAAAGAGAGGGAGAGAAACATCAATGTGTGGTTGCCTCTTGAGCACCTCTTACTGGGGACCTGGACTGCAACCCAGGCATGTGTCCTGACTGGGAATTGAACCAATGACCCTTTGGTTCACAGGCCGGCACTCAACCCATTGAGCCACACCAGTCAGGGCATAAAATTATTTTTTAATTTTAGAGAGTGAGGAAGGGAGAGAGAAAATTATTGATTGTTGTTCCAGTTATTTATGCATTCATTGATTGATTCTTGTATGTGCCTTGACTGGAGATCAAACCTGCAATGTTGGCATATTGGGACAATGTTCTAACCAACTGAGCTACCTGGCCAGGGCTACTCTAAATATTTTTTAAACAAAAAGTAATGATTTTTCCTAATCTTTGCATAACGTTTATTTCCCAGGGTAGCATACATATATCCTGGGTCTGGCCTACTCCTTGATCGATTGCTATGCACTTTGATTAAACCTATCTCCAGACATGCATATCCTATCTGAAAAAGAGTAGAGCTAGATGAACACTGAGGTTCCTTCCACTTTGAGATGATATGATTCTGTAATTTTCAGGTTTGTCTTTTATTAACATTTAATTCTTTCATATGTCATTTAAGTAGTGTCTTAAGATTTTATTTATTTAATTTTAGAGAGAAGGGAAGGGAAGGAGAAAGAGAGAGAGATACACTGATTGGTTGCCTCTTGCATGCCTCCAACCGGAGACCTCTCCTACAATGTAGACATGTGGCCTGACTGGGAATCGAACCAGAGAACTTTCGGTTCGTAGGACAGCAGTCAATCCACTGAGCCACACCAGCCAGGACAGTACTGTCTATTTTTAAAGGATTTAAAAAAAAATTATAAATTCCTTGAAGAACTACAATGTACATCATTATTTTTCTTGAAAGCTTGCCTTATGCTTTCTCATAGTAAGCTTTCAATAAACAATAAATGAATGAATTTCAGTTTTCAAAAATGCTCATAAATTACTTATAAAAGCACTTTCTGAATTGTTCCCAAGAGAGTGTTTATCAAAATAAACACAACAGAATTTTTTGCTTTCCAGAATCTTCATCTTCAACTCCTGAATTGGAGAGAATCTTCTTTATGTTGTCATACACTAAAAGGTAAGGTTTTCAAAAGAGAAGGAGATTCTATACAAGAATGAATATTGAGTATTCTGTGTTGTGTTTTTAACTTTTCCCAACACCCTATCAAATATACTTTATAAAATGGCATAAATAAATATCCACAAATAAATTCAGCTTCAGAAACCAGTTTGGAGAAGTTGACTCAATAGCTACCTTTCTACATTTTCTATATTCATGAGGGTCATCATTGAACTGAGAGATGAGGAAAATATTCTGGCTAAAAATGTGGCCAACAGGTACTCTTTTGACAAAACAAAGAGCTCAGACTCCATGTTTCAATTGGATTTAGATTTAATTACTTGCTAGATTAACTGTCTAAATTTTTTATATGGGAGAAAAGCTCTATCTTGCATAAGCCATTTATTCAGTTTGCCTGACATATGCTGCGTCGAGAACAGGCTGCAAGTGAAGACGGGCGGAAGCAGGAAGGCCCGCTGGGAGGCTAAATGCAATAATTCAATTTGCTTGGACCTGGAGGTGATGAAAAGTTGTCCAGTTTCTGAATTTACTTTGTAAGCAGAATTAACAGGATTTGTTCATGGTTTGGGCATGGGATTTAAAAGGAAGAGAGCAACCAAGGACGATTGCCAGGTTGGTCTGAGCAATGGGAAGACTGGCATGCCATTGAGGGAGCGAAGATGGCAAGAGGAGCAGGTCACACGTTGGGAGAGAGAAATAGGTGCTCAGTTTTAGGCATGTTTAAAATGCCCAGCATACAAATGGAGACACAGAGGTGGGAGTTGGATACACCTGCCTTGCATTCAAGGGAGAGGTCCAAGCTAGAACAATAGATTTGGGAATCATCAATGCACAGATGATATTGAATGTCTTGAGTTAAGCAGAGAGCAGGAACCCTATTTGCTTTGCTTACCATTGTAACCACAGCACCTGACACAGTATCTATCATGTAGTAGCTATTAGGTTTTAATTGAATGAGTAAATAAAATGCATATGGACTGAAATAGGAGGGCAAAGCAAAATCTGTAATAGACCACTTTAAATAAGAACAAGAACTTAAAGCCTCTTACTTGAAAAACCCAACCCATCTTCCAAGTTCAGTGTAGTCATTCAGATCCTGATTCTGCCTGATGATATAAATATTTTTATTTTTTATTATTTGGGATCCTGCTGCTTTTGACTTCAAATTAATACATGGCTTTCATGGAAAGATGGCTTCTGCAAAAATTACTCTTTGGTGCCATCATCTAGTCTTCTGGCAATTCTTACAATATAACCAGAAAAAAACTTAGTGGTTTGGGAGGCAAAATTTCTGTGTCCTAAGTCCTACATAACTGACTGAATTTACTTGCTCAGTCACAAAGCAGGAACTGTTAGTATTGGTCTCTATTGAGATTCAGAGATATTGTATAATTAAATGAGGAAATAGATGTTTTCAGCTCACAGAACATAAGTTGATATTTAAATGAGCACTATTATTATTATGCTTTTAAAAGTAAGGATATTATTTGCTACCATGATTACAAGTCACAAAGTGTCTATGCTACTATCTCCTGATCTGTGTTACCTGTGGAGCATAGATTGACGTTTTAGAGAGGCAGCCCAAAAAGAACCTATACATTAACCAGAGTGGCCTTCAGTCATTTTACCCATGTGACTCTGCCTATGACAACCCACCCATCTTCACTGGACCCAAACAGGAGGAAGGCCTTTGGGGGACCGGGTGGTGATGATGCTGTGGGGGGAGGAGCCCAAAAGGGTAAGCTCAAATTTAAATGTGTAGGGCCAATGTACTGTCAGTCAGTGAAGCAGCTGTGCTTGAGGCAAGCTTTCCCTGGCCCAAGACTTTTGGGGAGCCAAGATAGACACTCTGGAATCCACTATGGACAGGTAAAAAGACAATCTCCTCATGGGTGGCTGCATTGCCTTTACTCTCAGGGCAAATCTGAGCAATGAGATTGGTATCTATCCCTTTCTCTCCTGTCACTCTGATTCACAAGATCTGCTTGGCCAATATGCAGATTTAATTCTCTGGATCTGCCTCATCCTCTGTTCAGATCTTACATGTTATCTGCCTAACTTTCTCTCTCTTTCATATCTGAAAGGACTTTTATGGCCATGTGTTGACTTGTCCTGAGATTACTACTGCAGTTAGAACTAGTTTGTAGTAATAATATCAACACAGCAAATGTTTAGAGACTCAAATCATGAAAGAAAAAAAAAGCAGTATCATACTGAAAACAGTGATGGTAATTGTAATAATAATTTTGCAAATATTCAACTGTGAAAACCACTTGAAGATGAACTTTCCTAGGGAGACTCTATTGAATAATTTAGTTACATAGTGAGAAAATTATTTTTTTAAGTGCCAGTGTTCAAACTTAATAGCTTGAAGATCCTGGCTGGTGTGGCTCAGTGGGTTGAGCACCAGCCTGCAAACCAAACTTAATAGCTTGAAAGTAACTATGATTGTGTCTATTATAAGGAGAAAATTTCAATCAAGCAAATTATTTAGTGTTATAGGTCCGATTGTGAGGTAGTTCATGGCGTTTTTACTATTTACTTAGTCTTTCAATTTCTTTAGACAGGGCTGAACTTCTTAAATGTGCATTATGTAAGATTTTTTACAATGTATTCAGATGCAGTTTATGTCAGTTAATTTACTACCACAGAATGTATTCTATTCCTACTTTTATTTATTCCTACAAATGGATGAGAATGATCTCAACTTACTTCTTTTACAAAGAATTTACCCAACAGAGTTAAAGTTTTTAAGGGCAGAGTAAGTGTTCCTCAGGAAACTTTTTTGAGGGCAAACATGTGAAATGTCTGCTCAGTTTCAATGAAATTTTGAAAACTAATGTGAGGTATAAGTTAGAGGTAAAGGGCTCAGTGGAGATATTTGTGTGTGATGAAATGCAAAACAGTGGTAAAATCAGTAGCCGAAGTTCAGAGAAAGACAAATAAAAAGGAGGAAAGATGCAATTCAACAGGAGGAAAATGGAAGCACGTAATTGTTGTTAAGGAAAATAGTATCTGCAGAGCATATTAGCAATGGCACAGGGCAGGAGAAGATGACTTTGTCGTGATTATTTTTAGCCCAGTTGCCTCTGGTTTGCATTGCTGGGGATGCAGCCAGTGTTCTGCCTCAGGGACCACAGCTGTTCAAACAGCTGTCAACCTGTAGGCCTAAAAAACTGCCTCTGCAAAGTCCTTTGCACTCAGAAGAGAAACCAGGAGAAGCACAGAGCGCTGGAAACAGGCTCCTAGCTACAGCTGAAGGGAAGTGATGGACCAAGAAAGCTGATTAACAGGTCACAGTCATGCAATTCATTTCATTGTGACAGCATGTAACATTTCATTGTGACACAGATAACTTCTGACAGAAACAGTGAAGAACGACTGCATTTTCAGGTGGAGTAGGAAGTAAAAGCCCATCAGAATTATTTTACCTTCTTCCTGTCATTTTCTATAACTTTTGGAACACTTTGTCCCCGTCATGGTAGCAGGTCTGGTCCCTGCCACTCTGCCTTCAGTGCATGATATAGCTACTATTACCTACTCTCTACCCTGGCTCTTTTATCCATATATTTTGCCCAGAAGGGTGAGTTAAATGTAAAAGGAATTTATTGGTACAAGATGATGCTTAATCTATTTTAAACTGATTGGGCCCCAAAGAGAATTTTTTTCCTTTCCCTTCAGCATTTATTAAGCACTTATTATGCTATGGGTTATTTTATGCTAAGTATGTAACAATAGTAATAATAATGATGGTAGTGCCATGGTGATTACCATAAGAAGTTATTTTTATCTAAAAATAAAGCCAGTTATTACCAGATTTTTGTCAGTATCCATTTTAGATTCCTGGCAAATGTGCATTTCTAATTCCAAAATAATATAATTGACTAATTTTTCTATTGTTTAACATGCATAATGTGTATATTGGTGATAAATTTAGTTCTCTGCCTCAGGATTTAAAGTGTATTCCAATAAGCTTCAATGTGTGTGAATTGAGACATTGAAATTGCAACAGCTATAAAAAAAAAAGCTCTTGTTCTTGTTTATCTACTTCATAAGGTTGACCTTTGGGTACTTAATGTTTAAGTTTAGGGTCTATCACATGTATCACATTATTAAAATAATTATTCTCAATGTAAGTCCACATAAAGACTGGTAAATGAAAGTTTGCAGAAACTTTATTGACAATAGGCCCAAAATGGAAACAATCCAAAAGTCCATCAACAAGTGCATGAATCAACAAAATGGGCTACACCAATGCAATAGAATTCTCCTGTACAGTGAAAGGGAACAAACTACTGACACATGCAACTTCATGAATAAATCCCAAAGCCATTGAAAGAGGTCAGACACAAAGGAAGAGATAACATACAATGTGTATGAAGTCCTGTAAAATAAAACGTAATTTATAGTAACAGAAAGCAGATTAGTGGTTGCCTGAGGAGAAAAGGAGGAAATGACTGAAAAGGTGGATGAAGAAACTGGGGGAGGTGTGCCCTGGCAATGTTCTGTGTCTGGACTGTAGTAGCAGTTTGAGGTATTTACATCTGCCAGTATTCATAGACTTGTACATTTTGAATGAGTGAAGTATGTAAATTATGCTTCACTGTAAAAAAAAAAAAAAGTGAAAAAAGTTTCAATTCTCTTGCCAGCAAACGGTATTCAAATCCCTGACCTGGTGTTTTTTACAAATTCTTTGCACTTCTGCCCAATGCCATTAGGTGGCAGCATTATTCCCACAAATTGGAAAAAGACATTTCTGGAAAAGACTAGGGACAAAAACCAGAGACACTACTAGTGCTTTGGGATTGACCACACTGTATCGCTTGTGTTATGTTTACAACTGCAAAGGAACTTGAGTTAGCAGAAAATATTTCCACAAATTCAATTCAATTTAGTGTTTAAGATATGCAGGACACTGTGTTAGGAGCTAGGAAACACAGAGGAAAAGGACCAGTCCCTCTGTGTGAACGTAGCATAATATTTAGATTACATTGCCAAAGTAAAAGAGCAGAATACAAAATTACAGGAACAAGCATAATCAAAATCATGTAAATATATTCTAAAAGACCAGAAGGAAAAACATAATCTTAAGAATAATTGTCATTAGAGATTGACTGATATTCCAAATTTTAAAATTCTTTAATATTTTAAATTTTATAACTCTCTACTTTTTTGTAGTATTCAAGTTGACAAGAGTCAAGTATTGCTCTTATACTTTTCATTATACATGACTGTGATCAGGCTTTGAAGGAATGTGTAGGTTTTGCCCAACAGAAAAAGGTAGGGAAGCTCTTAGTCAGAGGAAGCGCCATCAGAAAGATGTCTAGACAGAAAGAGGAAAGGAAACTACTGCCAGGGGCCCAGCTGCAAGAGGAGCCTGAAGTAGGGGGGAAAGGGGGAAAAGTACCAGGAAAGGAGGCTAGAACTGTAGATTGTTGTCCAATGTAAAAACTGGCCTAAATAATACATTAAAGAGTTTGAAGTTTATTCTGTAAGCCCAACAGAATCCTTAGGGGTTTTTCAGCATGGAATGACATGTCCAAACCTGGAGTCTGGTGAGATCGCTCTGGTACAGCATGGAAAATGTTATTTTGGAGGGACCTGGAGGCAGAGAGACCAGTTAAGAAGCCAGGACGACAGATAAAGTGAATGAAGATGAGGGTTTGGACTGATGCAGGGAACAGAGAGAATACAGAAGGTACAAATTCAAGAAATATCTGGAGGTTTGAATGAATAATTTTTGACCACTAATTAAATATGAGGAGGGAAGAGCCAGAAGAATCAAAGAGGGTCCCGAGCTTTTAGCCTGGTTCCCTGAGAGGGAGCAGTCGGGAGGACAAGCCGGACAGTCAGAAAGAGGGCAGCTTAGAAACACTGTTGTGACTATATTGAGTTTGAAGTACAGGTTGGGCCTTTAGGTAGAGATTGCAAGGGAAACCTGAAAATATAATCATGGGACCGAGAAACAAGTTTGTCATTCTAAGTTATTGTCACCTAGAAGAGAACTGTGGAAGGGGACTGTCCTGTGAGCTTGTATGGCTTTGAGGTTCTTGCTATCTTTCAACTCGTCTTTCATATAAGCATGAAAAGGAGTTTATAATGGATTCCAGCTCAGTAGGTCTCAGGCTTCTGGCAAAGGAAGCAAGAGCATCTCATCTGGTTTGGCCCAAGTAATTGTAGATTTAAGAACAGCGAAAGAAAAGACTTAAGTGACCAGAGAATGAGCTGTAGCCCTGCACTTTCCTTCCTCCTCTCACCCACAGCCTCCTGATGAAGCAGAGGAAGTTTCTTTACCATTTCAAAAATGTCCGTTGGGCTAAGGGTCGCCATGAGACCTACTTGTGCTATGTGGTGAAGCGGCGAGACAGTGCCACCTCCTTTTCTTTGGACTTCGGTCACCTTCGAAACAAGGTACCAATTAATATTTGCTTCCCAGGCAAGTAAAAGCTAAACTGTGGGCACTTTCAGAGCCACCTACCTGCTGATGGTACTACTTTCAGTCTGTTTTGCCTCTGTCCCCACTAGATTCCTCAAATTCTTTTTTTACATGTCCATGCAACCATAATAGACATGATATGCCCCAAACGATGTCACTTAATGTCCTCTCCATCACGCTGGGCATATTAATGCCAGACCTTGCTTCACTGCCAAGAATATCTGCCCCCAAACTCCTTTCCTCATCATCCAAACTGCCTTAGAGATTAAGGGGGAAAAAATCAAAGGTAAGAGCCTTTTGATTTGAGTGGATATTATCAGCTCATTCAAGCTAAGTTTTAGATATGAAAAACAGCCCTGACTGGTGTGGCTCAGTGGGTTTGGTCTTGTCCTGCAGATTGAAAGGTGACTGGTTCAATTCCTAGTCAGGGCATATGTCTGGGTTGTGGGCCAGGTCCCTGGGTAGAGGTGTGCAGGGGCGTGCAAGAAGCAAATGATAGATGTTTCTCTCTCTCTTTCTCCCTACCTCCCTCTCCCTCTAAAAATAAATAAATAAAATCTTTTTTTAAAATGTGAAAAGCAAATTGTGTCTTTAGAATTTTTGAAAATTAAGGAACGAAATTTTAAGAATAATGAATGTTGACCAGTCCTGTTTTCTAAATGATTTCTAGTCCCTCCTCTCACATAGAATCATAGGCTAGTGAATGCATTTAGTATGGCAAGCCCCAGAAGACTCAGGGAAGCCTCAACTGGTTCATCAATTAAATTGCTCTCTCAGTGTTTAAAAGATCAGAAAATTGCTTTTCAAAAAAACTTTTCCACCAAAATCCAGATGGGTTTACCTAATCTGCCAATGAGAATTTCCTCTCTCATAACATGCAGAGACATCTGGTCTTGGTGGAATCTCAGGGAAGAACCCATTGGTGAGTTGTTTAATGCTTATTTCACTACCCAGTTCTCTTTGCCTTCTTTGTATTATGTGAATTATTTCATTGCAATTTTTTTTTACATTCTAATATCTGTCCTATTTACTATCCTCTCATGCGATCCTCCTAAGACCATCCCGGCCCATTTTACTGATAAGATTAGGAGGTCCAAGAATTGGGTAACCTGTTTAAGTCAAGTGGCGGGTGATAGAACCGAGGTCTTCAGATTCTGGGTCTTGTCTGCAATCCTAAGTAGACTTGCTATATCTCACTATGACGGTTATTATTATAATAACAGGGATCACACAGTGAGCAAACACATTATTTAAAACACATTATTTAATTGCTTTTACAATACTCATCAGTCTGCCTTGCCATAATCTAGTTTTACCTCTTCAGCCCTCCCAACCATAAATTTTCCACCCAGTGATACTGTGCGTCCCCACAGTGTTATGTCACTAGGCACTTCTAAGCCATTTTCCTCCTCCTCAAAGGCACAAAAACTACGGTAACTTCACAAACATATTAAATCTCTACTGAGACAGTGTCAAGCTACTCCATCCCAACTCAACTCATTTGGTCCCCCTCTTGCCACAGAAAACCCACGACCTTTCTCCACTCTGCAGGGCCAAGGGTACCAAGGGTTTTGGCTCACCACTGTGCTTTTTTGGGCAGTTGTTTAACCTTTCAGTAACTTAAGGACAGAACTGTAGCTGCCCCCAGAGAGACCACTGTGGGAGGGACAGGAATGAATGAGTGCAAAGCTACGGGCGCCGCAATACACGTCAGTAAACCTGAGCTGAGTCCTCCGCTCTCTCCCCAGTCGGGTTGCCACGTGGAATTGCTCTTCCTGCGCTATATCTCCGACTGGGACCTGGATCCCGGCCGGTGCTATCGGGTCACCTGGTTCACCTCTTGGAGTCCCTGCTATGACTGTGCCCGGCACGTGGCTGACTTCCTGAGAGGGAATCCCAACCTCAGTCTGAGAATCTTCACCGCGCGCCTCTACTTCTGCGAGGACCGCAAGGCTGAGCCCGAGGGGCTGCGGCGGCTGCACCGCGCGGGGGTCCAAATCGCCATCATGACCTTCAAAGGTAGGAGGCGGACTTTGCTACTCCAGCTCAGGGCGGCAGCTGGCATTCAGGATTGCAAATCAGACTGAGAAGAGCTGGGGGTGGAGGGGAGGAATTCAGGGGGCAAAAATTGTACCAAGATTCTAGTTCACCTTAGGAGCCAAAAATTATTAGCTAGAGGAACATTTAAGATCTTGCTTTCTGGCAATTGTCAGTTTTGGCTAAGAAACAAACAAACAAACAAAAAAAAAACCCAAACCACAACCTCATAAAAATTTAAAATAAAATCAACTAGAATTGGAGGGAAAGAATTAATGCTTTGGGGGAAATGAGAATTAAAAAAGGGCTGGGAATTCTTTCCTCTTAACTTGGGACTTGAACTATATTCTGTTGCCTCTCTCCCCTTTTAAAGATTATTTTTATTGCTGGAATACTTTTGTGGAAAATCGTGAAAAAACTTTCAGAGCCTGGGAGGGGCTGCATGAAAACTCTGTTCGCCTATCCAGACAGCTTCGCCGCATTCTTCTGGTAAGGGGCTCCTTTGCCTCTCATTTTCTTTCTCTCTCAGAGTCATCTTTTCCTGGAGCTACTTATATTTCTTATGCTTTCATATGTGAGTGTGTGTACCTTTCATGTGTGTGTGTTTGTATATTTATCACTCTCTCCTTTCTCCTCTGATGAAAACCTTATTTTCTCTTTGTTGTTTTTGTTGTCATTTCTCCTACAATTGAGTCTGCTCTTCTGTTGTTTCACAATGCAGAGCCCTCTGCAAAGATACCTTTCTCTTCCCTTCTCTTTCCTCATTCACCTGTCCTTGATCTGTTAGACTCTCCTTAGGATTTATTTCCTTCTTGGTAAAATTCCTTCCTCTCCTCTTATTGTCTCCTCTTTCTCCTCCCTCCCAACTCACTTTCTTCCAAAATGTTACAAAGTCATCCAGTCAGTTTATTTCTCTCTTTCTCTACAGCCCCTATATGAAGTTGATGATTTACGAGATGCATTTCGTACTTTGGGACTTTGACACCCACCTCCAAGAATGTCACATACGATGAAATATATCTGAAGATAGCAGTGGGTAAAAAGAACAATCCTTCAAGAATTGTTTTTCTTCAACTCTCAATTTCTTAGAGTTTAGAGAAATAATATTCATATATATGACTTTAAAAAATATATCTTGAAAATGGAGAAGGAATACAGGCCCAGCAGAGAAATGCTGCAGCTGGTGCAGTTTTTAATGCAACAGCACCCCCTACTGGGGAATTACAGAACTGCAGTTTCTGGGAGCATCTAAAATGTCAGTGCTCTATGACTTTTTAGGCAGGGAGGAAGCCGAAGATAAATCCTTACAAGCATGGTGAAAGGATAAAATGTTTTCACAATCAATATCCTTTCTCATTTGATTCACTCTGAGTTTTCAATAGCAGTGATGGATTTCTACTCTCTTTTCCTTTAAGGTTCACTTTCAAATGAACAAATTTCCATCAGGTCGTATATAGAACCTCTTAATGAGAAACTGGATGATTGTAACTCCAAGCCATCTCTTCAAAGCATTAATTAATACCCAAGCATGTGCTGTATGTTTTAATTATTTGAGGCATGTTTTTATGTTTGTACATAAGAGGATTTGGGGGCGGGGGGGGTGGTATGGAATATGCCTGGTCACCTTCAGACTACTTTATAATAAAGGACCTTAAAATGAATATGAGGACTCTGAAAATGATACCCAAAATGCATTGGTGCTTCTAGTAACAAATCAGAAAAACACATCCTTTTAAAGTAGTCCATAGTTTAGAAAATAAAACCAAAACTTCACACGTGATAATTAATGAATGCTTGGAAGGGAGTGGCTTGAATATTGAGGAGAGAAAAATCTATTTTTTGCTATGGGTCTTTTAACCTCAGCAATGTCAACCAGGTCATGGTTTTCTACTTTTTGTACATATATGATGCCTCTCTCAAAGAAATGTTCACTATATAAGAGAATGTAACAACAGAATAATATTTGGGAGGGCAAAGAACATTAAATGCACAGTTGTATTGTTTTATTTTTATTGTACATAAGTTTGTTAAAAACTTAAATATTAAAAATCCTTATTTCATGTTTCCATTCATATTTTATATTATGCTATATAGTGTCTAATATTTTTGTTGTTATAATTTTCTTCTCAGATATTTTGAAATGGATTCCTTAATGTCTCAAATGTATGCCTTTAGAAATAATTCTAATAATGAAGTACACAATAGTTTCACATGTTATAATATTGCTCTAAAACCATTTTTTTAATTTTTAGTAGATTTTTCCTACAGCATTTTGATTCTGGCTCATTTGAATCAACTGAATAAGCGATAAATAATTTTGGAAGTTTTGAAGATAAGCTGCTGAATAAAATAATTCTAAAAATGATTTCTTTATAAATCATTTATAAAAAGTCAGTATGATGAAATAGACTTAAGAGTCCAGAAATTATCCCATTCGCCTGTGTTCACCTGACCCCTGACAAGGGTGCCAGGACCATTTAATGGGAGAAAGGATAGTCTTTTCAACAAATGGTGCCGGGACAGCTGGATATCCATATGCAAAGGAGTGAATCCGGGCCTCTACCACATACCGTATACAAAAAGTAACTCAAAAGGTATCAAATATCAAAGTGTCAGAACCAAAACTATAAAAGCCTTAGAAGGAAGTATAGGTTGAAGCCTTCATGACTTTAGAATGGTAACAGTCTTAAATGGCCCCAAAAGCACAAGTGATAGGAGAAACTTTTGTGCATCCAAGGACAGTAGTAAGAAAGTGAAAAGGCAACTCACAGAATGGGACAAAATATTTACAACTAATATATCTGATAAAAGCCTAGTATCCAGAATATATAAAGAACTCTTACATCTCATAACAAAAGACAACCTAATCTACGAATTGCCAAAAGTCTTGAATAGACATTTCTTCAAGGAAGATTTGCAGATGGCTAATAAGCACATTAAAAGATGCTCAACATCCTTAGTCATTAGGGAAATGCAAATCAAAACCACAATAAGATACTTTGTTTGGTATGGGTTTACCTATCTGGACATTTTGTATGAATGGAATCACATAATGTATGGCATTGTTTTTTGGTTTCTTTCCCTTAGCACAATGATTTCAAGTTTTATTGAAACTTTCTCCTACAATTGAAAGATGTAGGAGGTGTTTATAAACATCTTAGATAAACATCTAGTTCACCTTATCTATACAAACAAAAAAATCAATAATAACAATTGTTGGTGAGAATGTGGAGAAATTGGAACTTTCATATATTGTCTGGTAGAAATATAAAATTTTGCAATCACTATGAAAAACAATTTGGTTGTTCCTCAAAAGTTAAACATGGAAATACTGTATGACCCAGCAACTCCACTCCTAGGTATATATCCAAGAGAATTAAAAACATATGTTCCAACAAAACTTGTACATGAATAGTCATAGCAGTATCATTTGTAACAGCCAAAAAAGTGGAAACACCAAAATATCCATCAACTAATGAATGGATAAAACAAATATGCAATGGTATTTTATTCAGTCGTGGAAAGGAATGAAGTACTGCTATTTGCTACAACATGAATAAAACCTGAAATCATTGTGCTAACAGAAAGAAACGAAAAAACTATGCCATACGTTACGTGATTCCATTCATACAAAATGTCCAGATACGTAAACCCATAGGGAGAGATTAGTGATTGCCAGGGCTATAGGGAGAAGGGAATGGAGTAACTACTTAATGGGTATAGCATTTCTTTTTGGGGTGAAAAAAATGGTCAGGGATTCAATAGTAGTGACTGTACTAAAAACAACAGCAACACTGAATTGTGTACTTTAAAATGGTTAAAATTGACAATTTTTTAAAAAATCAATATGACTTTAGAGTCAGGCCATCTTGTATTTGAGTTCTGGTTCTATGCAACAATGGGCAAAGTGTAACCTCTGTAAAGCCTTAATTTCCCATCTTTAAAGTGGGTATGACATAGCCCTGGCTGGTGTGGCTCAGTGGGTTGAGTGCCAGCCAGCAAACTGAAAGGTTGCTGATCTGATTCCCAGTCAGGGCACATGCCTGGGTTGTGGGCCAGGTCCCTGGTTCAAGGTACGTTTCTCTTTCTCCTTCTCCCTACTTACCCCTCTCTCTAAAAATGAATAAATAAAATCTTTTTCAAAACAATGCTAAAAAATAGGTATGATATAATATTAACTTTTCATGTACCGATGCTCAAGTTACAGTGGTTCGACTTGTTGATTTTTTGACTTTATGATAGTGCAAAAGTGATACCCATTCAGTAGAAACTATAACTAAATTCTAAATTTGCAAGTTTTTCCAGGTTAGCAATGTGCATTATGATACTCATTATGCAGGGCAGCTCTCAGGTAGCTGTGAGATCACAAGGGTGAACAACTGACATGCTCACAGAGGTGTCCAAACTTCTGGCACCTCTGGGCCACACTGGAAGAAGAGTTGTCTTGGGCCACACACAAAATACATTGCGACACGTAATCACAAAAAAACCTCATAATATTTTAAATAAAATTCGATTTTGTGTTGGGCTGCATTCGTAGCCACCCTGGGCTGCAGGCGGCCCTCGGGCCACAGGGTAGACACCCCTGCTACAGTGTACTGTGTTGCCAGCATTTTTAAAATACCGTGTTCTGTGCACAAACGCGGTAAGCTAAGCTAAGCTATGGTGTCTGAAAGGTTAGGTATATTAAAAGCATTTTTGACTTATGACAGTATTTTCAAATCACAATGAGTTTATCGGGATGTGGCCCCACCATATGTGGAGAAATGCCTGAAGTTTTGGTATTATGGTAGATTGGAAGGTACTATCCTAGTGAATAGCACTGCCATCCTTTGTTTACAAGACAGAAACCTAGAAATTGCCCCTGACATCCCCCTGCCCCCATATCCAGCACTGTCCATGTTGTGTGCAGGATGCTGTTTTGGATTTATTTACTTTTCTTTATACCCTCCATTAGCACCTGAGAGAGAAATAAAAAAGCAGCCCCTGAGAGTCAAAAGCTGGCCTAATGATCATAACAAAGCCATATTATCTTCCTGTCTGATATACACAATCTCATAGAATACCAACCTCAGACAAGATTACTCTGAAACCATGATAAGATGAAATAAAGCAAAGCTACTTGATAATGTGCCTGAGCCACCATCAAATATCAAATACCCCCCGACTCTAGGCTAAAATGAATAAGTACCACTTCTTAGATCTATTGACACACCCATAGAATGGCCACCACTCCCTCACCATATCTAATCTAAAGCAAATCTCCATTTTCTTAGATCCTCCCCCAAATCACCAAACCAAAGCTCAAATTCTGTAGTTAAACGTATAGTGATAAAGTGTCTCAGGAAAAGAAACACCCCCTAACTAAGACACTTCCTGGCTCACGGTTCCCAATGTGTTATCCCTCACTGCAAGAGTAATAAACCCAATTTGTTCAACTACAGGTGTGTTCTGCCTGGTCTTTGCTGGAGGTCATTGACACATCTCAGTTGGAGCTAGTAATATCTGTTGCTTACTCTACTACAATAGTTTTGGTGTTCACTAATTCTTATTACGTTTTACAGAGAATTATTCTATGGTGGTGATGATAATGGTTGTTTTAAAGAAAATTTCATTAGCAATAAATACCTCATCTATTAATCATTCATTCATTCTTTCTAATATTTACTAGGTGCATAGCATTGTGGCCAAGTCTAGACTTTATAGGACCGTCTTTATTTTACTTAAGATAATAGAATTTAGTATCTAAGATGGACTGGAAATTCAGGCCAGTAATGCAGTTGCTCATCCATCAGAGATTCTGGACCAGAGCAAGGAATCTGAGTACTATATAGTTCCAGATTTATTCTGTTAGCGTTTGAATGGACCCATGGGCTCTTATAGAAGGTTAACTTGCCAACAATGAAATTTTAGTTACCAGGTTTGAACAGATGAAATTTGGCACCTCCTACCATGTTGCAGCTAACTTCTTGATTGGATTCA